GCAGTCTTTAAACGTGTGACGGTGACTGTGCGCTTCCCGCCCTTGGCTGTGGGATCCGTGTGCGTGATGCTCCTTTCTTCCTGACCTGGATTACTCCTCCTGCAGTCGTGGCTTTCAGAGTGCATCCTGCGTCAGCCAGGCTTTTCCAGAGAACCAGTTGGGAGGAGGGGAAAGAGAGATAAATTAATTGATTTCAAAGAAGGAAACTAGCTCACTCGATTGTGAGGTCAGCAAGTCGGGAATCTGTAGGGCAGGGATCTCTGGAGGAGCTGATGATGCAGCCCAGAGGAAGAATTTCTTCTTTCTCAAGGAAGCTGTAGGCTTTTGGCTCTTGAACCCTTTCACTGATGGGGTGAGGCCCTCCTAGATTATAGAAGATAATCTTTATTTAAAGTAGACTGACCATGGTGGGTGTCAACCCCATCTATAGAATTCCTTCACAGCAACACCTAGTGTTTGATTGAATAATTGGGAACCGTAGCCCAGCCAAGGTGACACAGGACTAACCTTCAGTGTGTTCATACCTCACAGCTCAATGGGCTCTCAAAGAAGGGGAGGCAAAGTGCCTGCATGGCTGTGGATAATAATAAGGGACAAGATGAGACCCTACAAGAGTGCCCTAGTGCACTAAGACTAAAGCCAGAGTGCTCATTGAAGGCTGCGGGGTCCTGCGTGATCCCCCACCTTTCAGACCTCACTCCCCATGCCTCTCTCTAGGTCGTGCCACACTGGCCTCCTTGCCGATCTCTCCTTCTGAACTCTTCCCCTTGATGTGCACTTAGCTAATTTCCTCAGCTCCTTCAAGTCTTCGCTCTAATGGATTTTCTCAACAAGTGCTCCATTCTCCCCAACATTCCTAATCCCACCTACCTTTCTCTCTTTTTTCTTTTTTTCCTTAGCACTTACCAACTTCTATACAATTTACTTATTTAGTTAATTTGTTACTGTTTACTCTGTCCTCTGGAACATAAACTCAGTGAGTATCTTTGTTTTGATCGCTGATACATTTGAAGCCCCTGGAACAGTGCCAGGCATATGCCAGGCATATGGTTGAGGCCCAAGGAAGATTTGTACAATGAATGAATGAGAAAGATAAGGAAGGACGGTGCTCCTCTGGAACCGATGGGGTATGGTTAGGGCAGCTGAGTTGAGCAACTCCAGGGGCGCCATTCGCAGAGACTACGGGGTGAATAAAGGTCCCTGGTGTTGTCCAACACAGCAGCCCCTTAAACTAGATAATCAGTGGGCTCCAATTTCATTTCTTTCCATAAGGAGCAGTAAAGATTCCATAAAAAGCAAGTCTCTCTCCTAAGAGCAGGTATTAGACTGGATTGACTTTTTTAACCCTTTGTATCCCTGTGAAAGAAAATATTTATCCAAATTGATTTTAAGACAGGAATGTCCTGTAACTATTTATTATTATGAGACCTGAAGAGAGACATAATAAGAAATGGTTACATGAGGTTCATGTGTTAAAGACAGTTTAGTTTTTATAATTTCCTATTTTCATCATTTGTTTTCTCTGTAACAAAACAAAACAAAAAAATCTAGCTCTCCTCATCAGGATTCTTAGAGACTGGTGCTTCTGAAAGTATAGTCCCCAGATGAACATCATCGTGACCTGAGGACTTGTTAGAAGGACCCCCCCAGACCTGCTGAGCCGGCAGCTCTGGCAGGGCCTGTAGGTGTATGCCCAGGTTTGAGAACCACAGTTAGAGACCATTTCTCATTGAAAAATTGTCCTCTGTTGTCTTTATATTCCTAGCAGCTAAGAAGTGTTTGAAATACACATTATGTAATTTGTTTTATACAAATAGTTGAGTTTCTTACTCCAAAGATGAAGCCCTATTTTATTGAAAGACATCCCTTCCAGAAGATTCTATCCTGCTGTGTGACTCCTGCCTCCCCCATTAGATAATTCCTGAAATGATCTGGAAGGCCCTTTCCTGGTCATCTAACCTGGGAGGCAGGGAGAGAGGGACAGTAAACTTAGATACCATTACTGCATTTCTGTGCATATGGCCCTCTGGCAATTTTGTATGAGGTCCTCAAGGCTTGTTCAATTTAAGAAGCCATTTCTAGAACCATACATAATCCCAGAGAAAACCAAATTAACTCTCACCACCAAGTCGTATGGAATCACACTCTTGGAAAATGTGAATACTTGTTGAAGCTAAAGAAGAGTTGCCTGCCTCTGACTCCAGGCGTAACCGTGGCCATGAAATTCCTTGGAAAGACCTCATCGGTACCGATAACTGGAAAACCCTAGAGTAGCTGGTAATAGAAAGCAGAGAGATGTTCACGTCTGTGCTCAGTACAACATGTGGGCCCCAGACCACATCTTAACAAAAGAAGATAAATTAAAAGTGATCACCAGAACTCATTCTTAGCCTTGATTTTTTTCCAGTTTTTCTTACTCAGCATGTGTTAGGTTAGTACCAAAATAACAAACATACTTTCCAAAGGCCCTAAGAGGGTTAGGCATTAACTCAGACAGACTTGGTCAAAGATTCCAGTGTGGCAGAGCTGAGGAAATTATAATATAATTATGTCTCATTCACTCCATGTGTTAAATAAATGCTCCTTCCCTATACTTAGGGTCACTGTGTCATTTTCATATTCTTGGACTAAAGACCTGGACATATGTTTGTCTCTTTATGAAGCTTTTTGAGATCCAAGAAATACTGCTCTCTAAATAGTAGCTTACTGATGTTTTGTGTGTGTGTGTTTCTTTCTGATCAGAGTGTGGGTGTGGATCAGAGTCATGTTGGAGGTGTGCTGTTAGTGTTTAACAACCAACTCTCCATAGAAAAATGCCCCAGTTTGCCCACTTTGTAGCATTTGCCAGTTTCCATGGTGTATATATTCTTATCATGATCCATTTCAAGCTATCAATCTTTGCAAGGAAAGTTTGGAAAAGATACACATGGTTGGTGCTCTTGGGTTGGTAAAGACCAGCTCTGACAAGTCGTTGGAATGCAGGAAATTTGGAAAGCAGAGGAAAGGATTTTTAAAAAAAACAGAGGAAATAAATACATGACATTGCCACTAGGAACAAAAGTCAGTTTTAATATTGGGTTACATTTTCTTACAGTGTTTCGTCTGCGTTTTTATGTAATTGATATTTCGTATATATAATTTTGTGTTTTGCTTTTATCTTCATGAGCCTTATTTTAGTGGTTGCATAATATACCATTAAATTGATATAAGATCATTTATTAGCCTTAATTGTGGACATGTAAGTAACATTTTCTAATTTTTGATATTGCTGCGAGCAATGCTACATATCATTGAAACATTTGTTATAAATCTTCCTTCACCTTCTGGCTATTTCTTTAAGACAAATTTTATGATCAAATGGTTTAAATTATGGGTCTTAAAAAAATATTGCCAGATACCATCAAGAAAGTTTGTACCAATGTACACTTCTACCAACAATGTTTAAGGATGCCTCTCTCACTGTACCTTAACTACCACTATTCTTTAAAAAATTTTGATAGGTTAAAAAAACTTTAACATTGCCTTTCTTTGTAAGTGTGCTGAACACTTTTATGTTTAGTCATCTTGTTCCGCCTTTTTAAAGTCTTACGTTCATGCCAAGGGCTGTATAGTGAGGCAGTCCCCACGCAGGAGATTCTGCTGTGAGCCTCTTGCCTCAACCATTAGATAATTCCTGGACCAGAGATTATTTAAGAGCTTTAAATGACCTGGAAGGCCCTTTCCTGGTTTTTGAATTGGAGAGGGAGGGAGAGAGGGACTTACTTTCTCTCCCCACGTCCATGTCTGGTTTCATCTTCTATTTCTCTTCTCTAGGCCCCAGGCTCACACCACTCCAGCCTTACTGTTCCTCAGATAGTCCAGGCACACCACGAGGAGGCAGGTTCCTCTCCCATAGATCTGTAGAGCTCGCTCCCTGACTGCTTTCAAAGCTTTTTGCAAATGCCACATCCAAGAGGTTTCCCCTAGTCCCCTCTCTAAAATTGCCATCCCTCATCCCTACTCACTGTCTTCCTTCTCTGCACCACTATTCCACTGTAGTCTAAGTTCCCTAACACAGAATTCCTAGACTCTAGAGGAGCATCTGACAATAAATATCGATGGATGAATAAGTATACTCCGGCCGTATATCTAAAGGTTTAGTTTTGTCTTGATAAAGGCAATATCAACTTATGTTCTTCCCTTAAACACTGGAGATGGTAACTATTTTCAATATCTGTAACAAATATATTGCTAGATTTTTAAGGTATTGTGCTTTTATATAAGCAGAAGATAAGTATTTTTATGTAACTAAATCTTGCATTGTGATTTTTTTCTATTTGATTTACACTTACAAAATTCTTTTTCATAAAGCCATCAGATAACTTTTCACCTAGACTTTATTCTAACATTTTTATGACTTGGTTTTTTTGTAACTCTTTAATAAATAATGTATTTGTTATTGTGATAAAATGACCATCTACATTTTTTTTGTCATGTAACTTACTGTTGGGGTTCTGTTTCTGTCAATTACACTGGCTTTTCTTTTAATCGTGCTCCATGATATTTTAAAATTTAACTTTCGTATTTTCCTGTCATGTAAAATCTATAGGCACCAAATCTCAATGGACATTTCTTAATTATCTCAAAGATATTTTCATAGTAGTAGCTCTGTATTTTAAAAGCACTTTCCAATCTGGATTAAATAGACTTCAGTTTGTTTTGTTATCGCTACAAGGTCTGATAAGATACAGAGCAAATAAAAGGAAATCTAATAGGAAGCCGGGTTCTCAGAAGTCACAATATCAGGACTAAAGTCGAATCCGCCTCTAGCCACAATTTTTCCTGAAGCACCCGCCAGGTCTGGAAAGCTGACCCATTTATTGACTCCCTTAAACCCTGAGCTTAACCCATAGCTGCTGCCGGATGGATATCTGTGGACTGCGCCGGGGGCGTGACGCAGGCCAGGGAGGGAGCCCAAGCAGCAGCCTGCCTTTCCCACCTGTCCTCTGCTTTCTCCCCAGCTGCGGCCCAGCGCGGAGCTCCACCCGGACCTGCTCACCGAGTGCCTGTCGGTGCAGCCCCTGCAGCCGGCCGCCTCCCCGAGGGACGCCGCGGACGGCGCGGTGGGACGCTCCCCGGGGCCCGGGCCGGGGCCCGACCTCTACCCAGGTAACGAGGCCCAGGCAGACCCGCCGCACCAACCCGTGTGCCCTAGGCCCCTCCCTCTGGCTACAGGGAATGCTCACGTGAGAAAAATTCTTCTAAAATCATCTGTATTTCGCTCTATCAGCGGACTGTAAATGATCCCCCTCCCCGCCTTCCCATCTGAATTCTGAGCTGGGTTTGGCAGCAGACTATTTTTGCCATTAAGAAACAGTAAAATAATGCATTAGCTCTTTTAGTTCTGGACTTCTGCCAAAAGTTCAGGGCACCCGACCTCCCCAAGTGTCTTAAATTTATTAACTGATAGAGTAGAAACTCAAAGGAAAGGCTTCCCCCGTAAGCAGGTAACAGGCTCCATGTGGATTTCTTAATGGAACAGTCATTGTCTTCTTTGCATTTTAAAAGAAAGCCCCAGGTTTCTAAGAAAAATACCACACCAGTAAACCAACTTGTAAGAAGGTCCGTTATTGTAGGGGAGGAGATGGAGTGGCAGTCCCAGACCAGCTTACTTCTGCCTGGGCTTGAGCAGTAGATGACTCTGTATTTAGGAAATTTCATGTGTGTAAGGAAAAGTAAGAAAGGATTAATATGCAATAAGGAAGTTATTTTTTTCATTTACATTCCTAGCTTGGAATTTGGTGCATTTTCCACTGTCATAATGGTGATGTGCTTCTGCTAACATAATTGGGCAGCCTCCTCACATATGGAAAGCTCTTCCTGTCATGTATGACTGTGAAAGCAAAGGTCCCACCAGCGCCACATTTCAGACAATGAGAATTTTCTATTTTCTGTGGATTGCAAATCCCACTCCCACCCCCATCTGATTCCAGAGCCAGATTTTGGCAGCAGACTGTTTTTTGTGTTGTTTTTTTTTTTCTTTTAAAAAGTACTAATAAGCCATAAAGAATTTAGAATTTACTGATGCGTAACAGTGAAATAGGAGAAAGAGATGCTTATATAACTTTCTAAACGCTACAGTTCTCAGCTGGTCTGAAGGCAGGGGAAAGGGGCATTGAGCAAGTACTACAGTATTTCAAGAAGGTCAGTCATCAAGACACCTTCACGTTGTCCCAGGGTCAGTGGCCCTTTATCAGTTGCTTTGGCTACTTACTCTTGGAGACAACACAGCCTCTGCTTTTTGAGATCCTCAGACATGAGACTAAGATTTATGTGAAGAGCTGACCAAATCTGACAGAGGTTTTGGGTACAGGTCATGTATACCCATGAACTATGCCAGTGTACAATGTTTTCAGCACACATAAATATTTTGTATTAGATATACATGAAAAGGCGTGACTAGTTTTGTTTGTACACATGTCTGTTTGATTTGCCAAATATTTGATATATGAACATTTATTTTAGCACATTAAATTCACAATCAGTTTAAAATAGCTAAGAATAGCACTCTCTACTTTTTTTTAAATCGTCACCCAAGGATATGTTTTTATCGATTTTTTTTTTTTTAAAGAGAGAGGAAGGAGAGAGAGAGAGAGAAACATCGATCTTTTGTCTCCCCATTCGTGCCCCAACTGGCAATCAAACCCACAACCTAGGTATGTGCCCTGACCAGGAATCGAACCTGCAACCTTTTGTTGTGCAGGACAGTGCTCAACCAATTGCGCTACTGGCCAGGGCTCTCTACTTCTTCAGTCTATAAATCCATGGTTTTATTAAAGACCTGGAACACAGCAGTTAAAAGAGTCAAATCTAACCAGAATCAATTGAACAATGGCCCAACATCTAACATATATTCTGGTGATGGGCTGGTCCTGTTCATTTAAATCTCTTGGAAATGGATTTGGGAAGGGATTAAATCTCTATCTATCAAAACATCAGTACCTTTGCTGTGTGTAGCACACATCTGTATGGCTCATTTTCAAAACTTAGGAGTCCATTTGCCTTGGAGTTTTGGTATTTCTGGTAGTGTTTTTAAAGTTTTAAAGAGGTTGAGTTTGAAATGGCTTTGTCATTCCAAGAAATTCCTCTTTCTGTTCATGATACTTTTTTTTTTAATTGTTATATTTATTTTACAGTTACAGCTTACTTGCAGTATTATTTTGTATTGGTTTCAGGTGTACAGCATAGTGGTTAGACAACCATATACTTTACAGAGTGTTCCCCCGATATGTCCAGTACCCAACTTGTGCCATGCATCGTTATTACAATTATTGACTCTATTCCCTGTGCTGTCCTTTACATCCCCGTGACTATCTGGTAACTGCCACTTTGCACTTCTTATTCCCTTCGCCTCTTTCGGCCAGCCCCCCCCCC